ATTGTTGTCACAACAACATCAATATTGACCCTTTTGAATTTTTCATAAAATTTTTAACTTGAAGCCGACACCTCTAGTCGAGGGGTTGGAACTATTTTAATGCAGCAATAAAGAGTAATCACCTACTTTACCACAATATTGATGACAATCAACAAGTTGAAGATCATCTACAAATAAGAGCTATTAGCAATCATCTTGATAATTTTGAAATAGAAATATTATTTACTAAGTTAGAGGTTTGTCATCTTTACTAATCAAAGAAGTTTGAAATTCTTAATGGAACAAAGGCAAATTCACCTAGACTACTATAAGTGGCTCTCAAAGATAATCATATTTGGTTTTGAGATTTACTTCAAAGTAGACATCAAGGACAAGGCTGTCAATGCTCTATCTCAAGCTCCAGAACTCACTCTCTTGAAAGTAATTGAGTTATCACAACCAGAACTCTTGGATTTTTAAAATATCACTAAATAAAATAAGGTTGGCCTACAATTGACCGACATTTTTAATAGAATATCACTACGTCCTAATGATTATCCTTAGTATGCACTATAGTAAGGGACTTTATTCCATAAAGGGTGGCTCATTATATTTTATAGCTTAGCCTTCATTATAATGTGATTGTAAGAATTTGACTACTCTATGACAATTAGTTCTTCAGGGTTTCAATGAACTTATCATCAAATTCTAAAAAATGTAAATTATAGAGGAATGAAGAACTGTATATGAAGCTTCATGAGTAGTTGCCTAATCTATTCGAAAAATAAGGTGGAATGTTTATCACCATGTGGTCTCCTCTAGCCTCTATCAATCTCAAAATACGTATTGGTCAATATTATAGTGGATTTCATCAAAGACCTACTTGTTTCTCACATATATAATGAGATCCTCATTATCATAGATCTTTAGAACAAATATGCTCACTTTTTTTTTCTACAACATCCCTTCACTACCAAGGACATCATCTAGTTTTTATTCAAGACATAGTAAGAATCAATAAATTTCTAGAGTTAATTTTCACTAACAAAGACATAATCTTCATGACTCTCTTCTAACAATGGTTCTTCAAGCTTCATGAAATGATTATTCATCAAACAATCTCTTACCACCCACAGATAGATAGATAGTTAACGGTAGTCAATCATAGTCTCGAGATTTATCTACATTATTTTGCAAGTGATTGACTCATAGTGGAGAAGTTAACTCTTGTGGGTAGAGTTTTTGTTCAGCACCGATTATAACTTCTTGATAGAACTCTCTCCCTTCTAAATGGTCTATAGTTCCAATCCTCCAATACTTCTCTAATATGTTTTCCACTCATGAAAAATTAATGGGATTGATTGTCTTTTGTAGGAACATGATCATACACTCAATCAACTCAAGCAACATCTAAGTCAAGCCCATGCTTAGATGAAGGCCCAAGCTGACCAGCAGCACAAAGGCATCAAGTTCCAATCATGTAACTTTGTTTTCCTTTGATTGTGTCCCTACTGTCATAAATCCCCAACGTGAAGACCCTATGAGAAGTTGGCCACCCTCTACTTTGACCCATTCAAGATTTTGGAATGTATTGGGCCGATGACTTACAAGCTCAAGCTACCCGCAACTACCAACCTTCACCTAGTTTTCCACATGTCCCAACTAAAAAAGGTAGAAGTATCATTTACCCCAAGCCCCATTTGTCAACTCCAACTGCATGAGGATCTCATGAGGGCCATAGAGGCTAGTAAAGTTAGGGTCATTCGAGATAGCCCATCTAGCCCATAAGTCTTGATCAAGTGGGGGGGATCTACCCACCATATAGGCCATGTGGGAGTCTGCTTATACCACTCACCTCCAACTTTGTGACTTTTCCTTTGATGACAAAGTAAAATTAGGTAGAATGGTGGATTATTTTAGACTAAGAGTTTGACCGAACCACTATAAAATTTAGAGTACATAAATACTTCTTAATTTACTTCATATGTGCATAATAGTTTATTAATGTAACTTAAATATTAATATACAAAAAATCAAAAGTTTAATGTACTTAATCAAATGAAAAATAAGAATTACTTCACTCTCCCCTTTTTTAGATTTATCCAATCATTTAGGGACTAACAATTATAACCTCATTCATCAAAATGTACCCACACTTGTCAAAAAAAATTATCATCCATGATAACCTCACTTCTACCTTCACCTAACAATAGTGAAGCCAAACAAAGAATACACTGGAGCCACTCTTAAGGTCCCTTATGAGAAAATTCACTCAAAACCCACTAGAGAATAGAAGTGTTAAAGCATCATTTGATGTGCCTGCATGATATATCTTCTAAGTATGTATGTAGATATTTTATATGTGCATCCACATAAGGCTGTTGAGGCTAATGAAAGCTATTTATCTTTCAACAATCAGAGGCTCTGCTGATGTGATGCCAAGGAAGCTCTCATAAAGCATTAGAAGCTTCTTGATTTTAATTTTGACCAATTTTTAGGTAGCAAAAGATATAATTTCAAGTGGCTCTACATAATTATTCACCATGAATGGTCTTTGGGTGTTTTGAAGAATAAATCATGTCTCTAGAGGACAAACACCATCCAATCTTTATCTCACACCTTCATCCTTTCCTTTTATGGGCCTCAAAAGCCAAGATTCTACCCCAATTTTCTTTTTGGGCTCAAACACTTGGAGTAATTCCCTCTCTCTCTCTCTCTCTCTCTCTCTCTCTCTCATGGTCCATAAGAGCAAGATCATAAAATATCTTGTGTTCATAAAAGCGTAGAACTAACAAGCTTTCCTAACATGGGTTTCACAATGATTTCCTCTAGCAGAATAATAACTCAAATATCTAGATCTCCATAACCATCAAACCCTAATGATTGACCATGTAATTGGATAGAATTATTGTTCAACTAAGCATCTTTATTTATTGTACTTTTACTCAAAAGAAAATCTAGTCAAATGTGGCTTAGAAAAGGTGCCTAAAAATTTTCATGATTCTCACGGTGTTGTGGAAAATAAATAAAAATTTCATAAATAGGATTTCTACCACAATTAAAGGTACCCAATAACTTATGACCTCTAAATCATTTGCCTTAGGTATTTAATTGGGAAAAATTCTTCACATTTTTTTCCACTTTCTACCTAGTTGGAATGACATTTAATCTGTTCATGACATCTATGAATCCATATTTTTTTAATAAATAGTAAATTCATCATAATTAATTATAGTATGTGATCATTCATAACCTAATATATTGTCTCTTATTTGACTTCTTTGTGTTGAAGATCCTCATTTTTTATTTTACCAATAACATTATTTTATGATACTATGTAATTATATATATTCTATAATTTATTTATTTATTTATTTAACAGCTTTTTGAGATTGCTCCAAGTTGATTTTAACTAGAATAAGGATAAGGATAAATAGAACTAATAAAAAAATTACAAAATTATTAGCCTATATGCACAGTTGTGGCAAGCAGAGGTACAGAGGGAACTCGCATCGTGACAGCTGACGCTGGTCGCCAGGAGTCCCGAAGCGTTGCGAGGCGGCCATGTCTCTCCTGCTTAAACGATAGAAACCCTAAGTGACCACTCCTCCCACATTTCTGTGTCGTCTCGCCGCCTGCGTCCTGTCTGGAACGCCAGACAATCTCGGAAGGTTTACCTCTCTTTCTTTCTCCCTCTCTTTCTCAATTTTCTCCCCAGGCTCAAGGACTTAGGCCTGGGATTTGGGCTTACTGAAAGCTGTTCGTTGTTCTTCTGGATAATATCTGAGTTGTGATGTTGTCCGTGCAGTCGTTTCCTTCTGTTGGAAACTGTATATGTGCCCTGATGTCATATTCTACAATTGAGATAACCAATGGATTCATTTATGTTCGTTGCTCTAGATTTCTCTAGTTATTTCCGTCGAATGCCTGTTTCTTAATGATGTTTTGCTGACACACCAAGAGGAACTTGTCGATCTCGTCAGGGTTACGTCCTAATCACTTGGACTAGGAAAGAAATCGAATAAGTGAAAGAGGGACGAAAAGGTCTAGAAGTTGCGTCCTAAATTATTTAGTGAAACCAGACACAAAATCTGATCTCAGTTATTGGATCTGAGCTGCTTTATTTAGTTTCGTTCTAGTCGTATGGTTCTTTCTCATTGGCAGATCAGTTTCTCAATTCTTTTCTAGGATAGAGCTCAGGCTGTGATGATATTCGGTCCAGCCGATGGGTATTTCAGCTGAAGGCTCACTCTTGTATGGATCCTTCAGGATAGTTGTTGATGGCCTCACCCACGCTCCAAATTGCATGGTCTCCTATCTCTCTTCCTCAATTTCCGCGAACGTTTTTTCTCATTATTTAACAACCTGTCACTGGGTATTTAACAACAAGTCCATGTGCTACATTTAGGCAATCCTGAGCGTAGGCTTACCTAACCTTCGTGACTGGCATTATTCTGGAATTAATTTGTTTTTTCTGCGTGATTTGAATGTCATGAAGCCTCTCCAGCATGTTATAAATCTGTTTCTCGCATTTAAACGCTGAATCGGCTTAATGCGGTTAGATTCAATTGATCATGCCACTCCCCGCAAAGATTATTGGGCTATGAAATTGGAGGTGGGCTCATACATAAATGTTAATGGGTTATGGGTCCGATGGCAGGTTCTCGCAACCTTATTGGGCTTCACAACCCCGCTTGTTCTGTCCACTAAGGTTTTTTGAGCTATTTGTGTTTGAAGGGGAATTTGGAAAAGTTACTATGATCTTCAATCTGAGTTGGATTCCCCCACCAAGAGTTAATAAGCTTTTGGCCCACATGTTAGTGGGCTTCATTGGGTAAATCAATGAGGGTAGGAAGAAGGAGAAAGGGAGAGAGGGAGAGGAGAGGGGTTGTTTTTAGTTCCAAAAATGATTTTTTTAATTGCCAAGAGTTAACAGGCTTTTGGCCCACGTTAATGGGCTTCACTCGGTAGATCAAGGAAGGTAGGAGAGTCCGAGGTTGGTTTCAGGTGGGGGAGGCATCATGGTGGTAGGCAGCGTTGGCGGCGGTGCTGCCCGGGAGGTCCTGAGCGCATACAGGACTCTGCTGCGGGCGACGAGGAAGACATTTGCCGAGGATACACTGATGCTTACCCAGTCAGCCATGGAGGTGCGCAAGAAGTTTGAGGAGAACCGTGAAGTGTCATCTGAGGCTGAGCTCCGGAGGCTGGTGGACGAGGCCCGGGAGGCGGCTCAGTTCATTTCGACCATGATCGTTCAGGCCAAGCTCAACTCTCGCGGTGGTTTCGGTTCGTTTCAATTCCTCCTCTACCTGCATCTTTTGCACTAGGACAAATCCGTCTTGCTAGTAATCATCATTTGGCTCGACTTTGCATCTACAAACATGTTATGATAACTGAAGTGTTGAAGTCTATGTGATGTGATCAATTGAGGATAAGTTCTTTAAAAGATCCGACGAACTTTTCACACTGGGTATTTTGGGCCTAACAGCTTGTTTCGAAAATTTCGATGGGTTTTTTTTATGCATGGTAAGCATCAGAAACCAATAGATTATTGGTTTTTGTATGCTGGTGATAGGATCAGAAGAACAGTGTCAACATAGTACGTCAAAAGTTCTTCCTTGGGATTCTTTCTCGTAAAGTACCCAAGCAGAATTTCTTTTCAGTGTTCTGACTATTGGATTCTTTCTCTTCCGGTGAGAAATAAAAGATGTTGCCCTCTGTTCAAAATACGTAAATGCTTCTGTAGTTAGTAATGTGTAAATACCCATTTGAAGATGAGGACTAGTTCACATCAATAGATAGTACCCGAGCTTCATTAAGAGGATTACCCATGTATCATATTTCATGTTACATGGTTTGTTCTAGCTTGAAGGAATGAATTTGTAACTCATTAAGCCTAGGTTTTGTGAGCCACAGTTGGCAAATGCCCACAGTCTGGGATTCATTTTTCCTATTTTTATGGATGGATTGGATTTCAGGTCAGTGACAAGGTCTCATTATGAGACAACATGAATTAACCTGCAGTCCTGCCATCTTCAGTTACCTATGGTGCTTTGAAAGTCCCTCATCACTTTTATCACTTTCCTACACTTGTCCTCTTCCCTTATCTATGCCTTAGCACTCTTGTCCTTCAGGTCGTCCCAATATTGCGGATGACACTCTGTGCAGCCATTGAACTTTCCCATTAGCTGAATAATTTTTGTATAGCTTATTCATTACTTATTTCCCCCTACTAACTAGCTGTTAATAGGAATTTGTCACATTATTTCTAACGGTCTTCTCCTCAATAACCAACATGTAAAATTTAATCGTTATGGTGGTGGGAAAAAATCGTTATTCCTTTGGACTATCGAGTCTTAACCTGGCCCTGAAATGCTTGGATAGAGGTGACAATGGTGGTGGGATAAAGATGTTCAGATGATATATTCGCAGCCAACTCTCAGAAATGACGAAGAAGAGGTGGTACATTCCACTTAAAAACCAAGCCTTAGAAACATAAAGAATGCCATAACACGGTCTTATTGATTACATATATTAGTAGTATAACCATTTGTAGGCTTTAAAGGGATCATCCGCCATAAAAGGAATTGCATCAGACTGCTATACCATAACTGGTTGTGTTTTCCACATTGAAAATACCAGTTTTATTTCGAGATTTTTAACTGTTAAAACAATTGTAGTAACATTATTTGTTGCACTAATGTACAAACAAAAATGCCCACTAGTAGGTTTAAACAATTGAGAAATGTGTTGAGATTTACTCTACTGTATCTATTATTACTGGTTTTTTTTCCTTATCAATGCTTTGAACTCTTTCGGTGACACCTGTCAATTTATCTAAATGGCCCTATTTTTCTTACACTATGAACCATATGATTGATTGCAAAAAACTGGTGTGGATCTGCATCGTATACCTTGTCAGTTTTTCTATTTGCTCTGACCATGACGTTTTCCCATTCACCCAGAATAATGCCTATCACTGACGACTTCCCTTTTTCACTCTATAAATATTTTATAGTTTGTGATTGTTTCAGCTGGTTTTGTTTTCAGCTCTTTATGTTTTTATGTGTACTTTTTTTTTTTTTAACAATTTCTTTGCATCACTTCATTTTTTCCTTCAACCAATTGCCTTATGAGTTGTGGTAATATTTGATTCAATCAGGAGGCACATCATAGTATTAATGTGGAATGAGATCAGTCGTGTCAAATCTATATTGAACCTCACCGACATCATGTGTAGGTTATTTTGACATTTCACCGTCATCAATAGGTCATCATAGTTTGAATTAGCTTGAGAGAAATACAAGAATGGAAGAGTTCAAGAAAAGCAAGAGAGGGGAAAGGATCATCAGCTTCCACCTTCAAGTTTCTTTCATCTTCTTCACCATGCACGCCTATTTTCATAAAAGAAAAATGTGCTGACTCTGTAAGAATATGTTCATGTGAATGAAAAGAGTAGGGGGGTTCATGGGACATCTAGATGAATCTTGTTGCTGTACTGCTTCTTGGACCCTGTGATCAACCCATTTACCTTCGTAATGTCAAATTGAGTCCATAACTCGAAGCCAGAGCTCTGGTGGTAATCTCGAGAAAATACTCTAAGAAGGTTTGGGATTAACAGGGTTTACTCTTTGCTGTTTAGTTTCTACTTGAAAGCTGAAGTCAGGGAAGTAAATTCTCTATCATTGACAGTAAGGACTTACTGTGAATGCTCAGATTTCAGACAAATTAACCGTGTAATCTGCCTAACCAGCCCAACCTGTTAACTAAATACAGACCCAAAATGAATGATTCACTTACACAACAACTATAGAAGATGCTAGTTGTCTTTTTATTAAATCGTTTGAAAATAGGACATAATTTTTCAGTTTTTAGCCTCGTGATTCGTTGTATGTATCTTCATGATGGCAGACATTTTATGGGTTCTTTAATGTTTATCTGTTTCTCTTGACCAAATTCCATAGATTCAAGCTAACTGCTACAGTAGTTCACCTGCCATAGTAACTACGTATCTCTCTCTTCACCTGGCAGAGGTGAAGCCCAGCAAAGAACATGCCGGAGCCACCCTTGAGATCCCTTCTGAGGAAATTCTCTCAGAACCCACTCGAGAACGAAAGCGTTAAAGCTTCCAAGTATGTATGTTTATATTAATATATATATATATATGCATCCACGTAAGGCTGCTGAGGCTAATGAAAGCTATTTATCTTTCAGCAGGCGGAGGCTCTGCTGGTGTAATGCCGGGGAAGCTCTCCGGAGAGTCTTGGAAGCTTCTTGATTTTAATTTTTTACCACTTTGTAGGCAGCAGAAGCTTTGATTTCAAGTGGCTCTGCGTAATTCTTCTCAGTGAATGGTATTTGGATGCTTTTATGAATAAATCATGTGTCTGGAGGAGGAACACCATCCATCCTTTCCATCTAGGGGCCTCAGTAGGCCTAATAAGCCCAGATTCCAGCCCAATTTTCTTTCTGGGCTCAGAAACTTGGTCTCTCTCTCTCTCTCTCTCCATCTATGGGCCTCAGTAGGCCGAATGAGCCTAGATTCCAGCCCAATTTTCTTTTTGGGCTCAAGACTCTTGGAGCATCTCTCTCTCTCTCTCTCTCTCTCTCTCTCTCTCTTTCGCGAAGGTAAGGTATAATGGTCCAGATTCAGGTTAGGAAACGCTCCGTGTAGCCTATTGGTACCTACCCGAATGATTAACCACGTCAGCAGATCGAGTTATTGTTCAACCAAGCATCTTTATTTATTGCACTTTTACTCAAAAAAAATCAGAGTCAAATGTGGCTTAGAAAGTGGTGGCCTAAAAGCTTTCATGATTCTCACCAAGTGATATGGGAAATAAATAAAATTTTCATAAATAGTATTTTTACCATAAATAAATCATTTGTCCTACTTAAGTATTCACTTAGCGAATTTCTTCATTCTTTCTTTTTTCTATCTCCACGCAGTTGGAGCTGCATTCAATCTGTTCATGACATCTATGGACCCAATTTTTTTAATAAATAGTATATTCATCATACTTTTGTATAGTATGTGATCATTAATGACCTTAAATATTTAGTCTTATTTAATTTTTGGGTTGAAGATCCTCATTTTTTTATTCACCCAATAACATTATTTTGCGATACTATTTGATTATATATATTCTTTATTTTTATTTTTATTTTTTCATTTATTTAACAGCTCGATGTGATTCCTCTAAGGTAATTTTAACTAGAATAAGGATAAGGATAAATAGAACTAATAAAAAAATTACAAAATTATTAGCCTATATGCACAGTTGTTCGCATAGAGGGAACGCACGCGCATGTGCACGTGACAGTTGACGGTGGTGGCTTGGGGTGCCGAAGTGTTGCGAGGCGGCCGTCTCTCCTCCTGCTTAAACGAGAGAAACCCTAAGTGACCCCTCCTCCCACATTTCTGTGTCGTCTCGCCGCCTGCGTCCTGTCTGGAACGCCAGACAATCTCGGAAGGTTTACCTCTCTCTCTTTCTCCCTCTCTTTCTCAATTTTCTCCCCACGCTCAAGGACTTAGGCCTGGGGTTTGGGTTTAGTGAAAGCTGTTCGTTGTTCTTCTGGATAATATCTGAGTTGTGATGTTGTCCGTGCAGCCATTTCGTTCTGTTGGAAACTGTATATGTGCCTTGATGTCATATTCTACAATTGAGATAGCCAATGGATTCATTTATGTTCGTTGCTCTAGATTTCTCTAGTTATTTCCGTCGAAGGCCTGTTTCTTAATGATGTTTTGCTGACACACCAAGAGGAACTTCTCGATCTCGTCAGGGTTACGTCCTACTCACTTTGACTAGGAAAGAAATCGAATAAGTGAAAGAAGGACGAAAAGTTCTAGAAGTTGCGTCCTGAATTGTTTATTGAAACCAGGCACAAAATCCAATCTCAGTTATTGGATCTGAGCTGCTTATTTTAGTTTGGTTCTAGTCGTATGCTTCTTTCTCATTGGCAGATCAGTTTCTCAATTTCTTTTCTAGGATAGAGCTCAGACTGTGATGATATTCGGTCCAGCCGATGGCTATTTCAGCTGAAGGCTCACTCTTGTATGGATCCCTCAGGATAGGCGTTGATGGCCTCACCCACGCTGCGAATTGCATGGGCTTCTATCTCCCTTCCCTCATGGACTATGCACATTTAGATCATTGTTACCACAGCGAACGTTTTTTCTCATTATTTAACAACCTGTCACTGGGTATTTAACAACCTGTCCATGTGCTACATTTAGACAATCCTGAGCGTAGGATTACCTAACCTTCATGACTGACATTTATGCCGAAATTAATTTGTTTTTTCTTCGTGATTTGAATGTAATGAAGCTTCTCCAGCATGTTATAAATCTGTTTCTCGCATTTAAATGCTGAATCGGCTTAATGCGTTTTGATTCAATTGATCATGTTATAGTTTTGAGTTTTGTTTTATAATGCACAGTGCTCACATTCCTTTACAGCTTTTTTAAAATCTTGATTATTCCATAATGAAATGTTATAAGTGTATTTTCATTTTGCGGCTCCTTTGGTTGTGATGATTATTATACTGGTTAGCACATGTAATATTAACTGTGAGTACAAAATTTAATGACTGATTTTTTTTCCAACCGAAGGTATGATACTTTGTCGTGTGCATTGTGTGTATTCGGTGAGTGAACATTTACTGAAGATATCTGGAACCTGAAATAACCATTTTTCTCATGATTTCAACATGCAGGCAACGTCATCCTTAGATTTTTGACCATTTGAAGGTTAGTCATGGTTCTCAAGTAAGTGACTTTGAACTCATCCTTGAACCTTTTTACTTAGCAATAAAAGTTTATTCACGGGCTTTGAAAAAAATGTTGTTGTAAAAATCCGAAAGGTATTTATTTAAGATTGATGATTGTTAGTCTGTTGCATATCTTAGTAATCATTTATCCTTCAATCCTTTTTATTCAGTAATAGATATATTTTGGTCTCATGCATTTCATTGTTAGAGTGCTGACCATGTAATTTTAATATTCAACATTTTCTTGGTTATCATCAATGTCGTGACTTTAAGGGATGTTAATTGCATGTATTTTTTCATATCTCGTTATAAATTTCATTTTTACGTGCCTTAGAAAAAAATATTGTTTAAGGGGTATATTCTAATCCAAGCCTGATACCCTGATCTTATCACTTCCGAAAGGGTCTTTTGATAGCTTCTTTGCTTCAGCTCATGGTCATGCGCTGTTCTTGCTTCCTAATCCGAATGCCTATTTGACTTTCAGGACAGAGCTCTGTCGTTTCAGTGGTGCCAAGATATACCCTGGGAAGGGTATTAGATTTGTGCGTGCTGACTCGCAGGTAATAGATCTGCATTCATCTTACTCGTGGATTACACAGTGCTAATATCTTCTTATGTCACAACAAACAAATTAATGTTTTGCTTCAGGTCTTTCTTTTTTCCAACTCAAAATGCAAACGTTATTTCCACAATCGGCTGAGGCCTGCCAAGCTTACCTGGACAGCAGTGTATAGGAAGCAGCACAAGAAGGTATGATCACGTCTTTCTGCAACTGATCTACTGTCATTGCTACAGTTTTCGCATCGAAAAAACATACCTAATCAATAATATTCGTGAAAAATCTAAGGCCTCCTGCTTTAGTTTAACATCTACAGTAAATTCTCCTATAACCTGTGCGTATTTTGTTTCTAGTCTCTAAGAAACATACTTTATATGTTGGTCTAATGTTTTCAGAAGCATGCATAGTTGGCAGTGTTCACATCTATCATTTTGATTTTGTGATTGGAATACTTGGTCAATCTTTAAGGATTTGTGTCATGCGTCTCAGCCAACGACAAGTGTCATGCATGGGTCGTCATGGTATTTCGATGATATTGCAGGATATTCATGCTGAAGCAGTGAAGAAGAGACGCCGTGCCACAAAGAAACCATACTCCCGGTCCATTGTCGGTGCTACTTTGGAGGTCATTCAGAAGAAAAGAACTGAGAAAGCTGAGGTCAGGGATGCTGCCAGAGCAGCAGCACTCCGGTATGTATTTCTCTGCCTCTTCAAATTGATGAATTGAATGAAGCTTTAGAAGGCCAGGTGAACACAGTGGTGATATCCTAGTAGAATATGGAAGAAATCTTCGTGGGTCGGTACTAGTTGTTATGTCTGACCTCCCACAACTTAGGTATCAGGTTCTTGGCTTCAGTATTAGTTAACTCGACGGCACTGATAATACAATTACATGGTCTTGGATTTGTCAAATCCAGGGATCAGTTGCTTCAAATGCTATGAAGAACCTGGTCCATTGAACCAAATTGTTCAACCTTGCAAATGTGCATAATTTTAGGTTTCCTTTGGCTAAATTTATCCTCCTTTCATTTGATTTCCTTCGGTTTCATGCCGGGTCGTATCTGAGTAGACAGCATACAGACAATAGCCCTCCACTTTCTTAGCTGGGACTGAAAGGACTGTGACTCTGTGCACAATCCCCTTTCTTCAGTGAGATCAAGGAAAGGATCAAGAAGACGAAAGATGAGAAGAAGGCTAAGAAGGCTGAGGTGACAGCAAAGACCCAGAAGACCCAGGCCAAGGCAGGCCTGCCCAAGGCTCCCAAGGGGCCCAAGATCGGTGGCGGTGGAGGGAAGCGTTGAAGAGCGCCTGCCTGCTCTCCGCCCGTGGTGCTTCTTGTTGCATGAACGGGCTGGACAGCTGCCATGGGTAGTTCTACATATTTACATGCTTGATTCCAGAGTTGTCCATTTTAGTACTTGTTACCATGAGCTTTGTGTTTCCAACTCCAATTGACATCTAGTAATGTTTCTGATACGGGTTTTGTTCTTTTAGGCTCACACTTCTAGTGGATATTTCATAAGTTTGCTAAGAACTGTCAATATAATTTAGCCCTTGTTTGATATGATTTAAGTCCAATCCTAGAATGGATCGAAGAAGGGTTAATTTGTTACAAATCCTCGTAAATTACTGAACTTGGGGTTGACTACTTCTTTTAGAACTACCCTGAACGTCAACATTAATCGAGTTAACTGTAGGTCAAAGTCATTAGTTTCTACCTGATTTAGAAAAATGCAATCTTTCCATAAGTTTTAAGCATTAAATTGACCCACCCCCTCCTACATCACACACACGCACACCCCTAGTAGTTTGCATGTGCATCCTCTCTCATCTTCTTAGTGCAATGCAAGCACCTTCTAATTATGTAACTATGTTAATCTAAAATGGAAGTTTTGTGGCACTTGCTGAATATATAATTCACAAAATGATGACATTATTGAAGAGAAAGAGTATGATACATGATCTTGAAAGATCTAAAGTAACCATGTTTGTTATCCACAATCTACAGGTTGTCTGAAACTAACGGTGCTTGAATCATAAACCTTACAATTAAAACTATTGTTAATATCAATTATGAAACAATTTTGGTTCATGATTATATAATACGCACATATATATATTAGTTTGCTTGATAAATCAATATCATATATTATGATGATAGAAAACTTGTTTCATAACAGACCATAAATTTGATCTTTGGTCATCTTGTCAATATTTCCATAACTAGACATCATGAGCTATGGAAGAAAGTCTTCCATAATTAGACATCTATGGGTACTCCATGGGTGTGGACCAACTCCTAGCAAGGACCAGGGCCCTTCTAAAGTTTGTCCCAATCAGAGTTGAAAGGGAAAAAAATACGCATTTTTTTATATGACTACGAAATATATTGGTATAATTATTGAAGGAAAATATAGAGTGAGTAAAAATTGTAAATGAAGACATCCGTATGATAAAATTATTTAGTGTTATACCTATAAAGGTATGTATATTATATAAATTTATTTATTTTCTTATGGACGGAATAATTCCATCATAAGAGTTCGATCAGGATATGGAAAAGAGAACTCGATTATTAAGTTCAAGAGGGAAATAACAGATAAAGGGTGGATACGGAAGTAAAAAGTTTTAAAACATAATCCGACCTGCCGGATTCGAACCAGCGACCTAAGGATTTCAGCGATTGACTACAGTCCTCCGCTCTACCAACTGAGCTAAGGTCGGGTCTTGAGAGTGTTGTTCACACAAAAATATGAAGTTTGTCACTACCACCTCTAACAAACCTTGCCCTCTGTCGTGGCGGAAAGGGCTTGGTCTCTGGAGGAAGGCAGGATGGTCGACGACGGCGTTACCGCCGCCCCCGCTTCCACGATGAGGCAGTGGATCGTCGAAAACAAGTTAAAAACTGTTGGTGAGATCTTCGATACCTCTTTTCTTTCGTTTTCCCATTTGCTTTTTTTTGGGAATTGAAATCCCCGTTAGGTTTTTTTTTTAATATCGTTCCTGCTTCTCGTTTATATTTTTGGTGATTATCTTTCATCTTGTTTCGTACATTCTGTGCATTAGGGTGTTTCTGGTTGAGCGCCATCACGGGGTCGTTCGCGTATAACTGGTCACGTCCCAACATGAAGACTAGTGTCAAGATCATTCACGCCAGGTTGAGTTTCGTTTTGGTTAGTTCTACATTTGGATAATCGTCCTATTTTTCGCAGTTACTGCCCAATTTTGAAATGAGTATCTTTCGATCGTGTTGCATTTCTTCGGTGAATATTCACACCGAAAGTTCCTATAACCCTCTTGATTCTGCGTGAGCATTGACCTATGATTCTACTATCGTTCTTGTTCAGTCGAAAAATAATACAATGCGTTGAGAAAGATTTATGGAATTATTTGTTGGGCTGCTTTTCTTACTGCTGGCCATAAATCCTCGTACCCGTAGTTTGGGTAGATATCATGAACGATACTCTATCTTGATCTTTTTCATCACTGGATGTTTTAAAGCTATTATATAATTTGATATTTAAAGAACAGAAAAAAACATAAATACCCGGCGATTGTACAGTTTTTGATCATTTACTGCAAACAATTTCATTAGAGATTTAGGCGCCAAGGACAGTTTTGAAGGACCCTCCGTATATATATATATATATATATATATATATATATATATATATATATTACATACGTATACATATATATACATATATATACATTTATATATTCCTTCTCCTTGACCTTGTCAAGTAATTTCTATGAGGATACGCCAATACCAGCTGCTTATAATATCTGCAGAACTTGTTGATCTCTGTAAATTGGTTAAGTATGGCCTATCATTGTGTTCAACCTCTCTCCTTTCACACCCCCTGGCTAGAAGGTCTTTACGATTACTTCCTTTTCTTATAGATCCCACATCATTCAGCTAGAATAATGTTTTTTTAATCCATATCACGATCCTCATCTGCATTGAAATTCACCCTTTTTTCACCCTTCTCACAGTCAAATAATAAGGAGCCGACTTCTTTCCTATATGTTTGCTCTTTTCTTCTGTTTTTTCTCTTGCATTGCTCCTACTGTTCGGTAAGCATTGTGATAGAAATTCTTGGTGGGGTTTCCTTCTTCCACCATTCAGACACAAAGATTAAAGAAGACCTCTTGAAGAATTGACTATTTTCTGGTATCTATGAGATGGCGCATGTAGAGGATCTGCACCCTGATGCCTTGTGTTGCTTCAACAGGCTACACGCTCAGGGCCTCACTCTGGCGGCATTGGCTGGAGCTGCTGCTGTCGAATACTATGACCGCCAATATGGGTCGACAGCTTAGGCATATCAACAGGCGTAGATGTTCTCGTCGCACTCATGACAACTGAAGACATCACAGGAAATTTTCGACACCCAAAGAATCCCATTCTACCATTCATGGTTTACTGGTTTTTTTTTTTTTGTATTTGAAAGAATCGGATCATTTGAAGATGCTCCCCAGATCTCCTCTTCTTGGTTCCCAAAGAGGAGCAAAACATTTCATGGGCATCAATACATTGAATCGAAGGCCATTTGTTGCTTTCTTCTCTGGATCTTTTTCTTTTCTGGCTCGCAGGTTTTGTTGCAGATGGGTGATGAGGGTGTTTGGCAATGAGGTTACCTCTCCAATTTAATGGGCTCTTTATAGAGCAGAGGAGCATCATGATGCAGTTACCGTGTGCAGATTGTTGAGACGATCTGCCCCACTAACGAGATCCATTGACAAATCTTGCCGGAGTCATTGCTGATGAAGAAGCTGCTAGTGCTTGTGAAGTTACAAAATGTTGGTTTGATAGATGAAATTAGGATAAAAAGATGATACATGTCTCATCAATCTAAAATATCATAAGCATTGATAATCATCTGGAGACCATGTATTTTTGTTGCATCATCACATTATAAGGTTTATGACATCTCACTACACATATGTAGTGAATCTAAATAAAAACCATTATTGTAATGAAGGCAAGGTGTTTATTTCTTGCATGATCATCTATCTATGCATAGCTTGAAATTTCCAATGAACTATGGCTAATTTCTCCTAAAAAGACTTTATTATTAATGCCATAAAATTTTCCATTGATCATTATTTAATTGGGCTCACTTCCAATTGTTCCAAAAATCTTCAACATTTTCCATGCATTAGAATTAGCCATTATATTTACATATCAACAATGTTACAATAGGAATTAACCATATCAGCTGCACACCAATTTAGTACTCCAAACATCTAGAGATGTCGTTTGATTCTCTGATGGTATGAGAAATTTGCATGTCGTATTAAGATAATATCACCGTGGTTGTCAAATGCACTCAAGAGAGGCATAGATTGTAGTGTGTGCTGGTGATGGCCAAGTATTCTACATAGGTTGAGGTTTATGCCAAAAAGGGATAGAGCTCAAGAAGCAGTTGACTAGTAGAGTCTTGAGGTTCATTTCACCCCATATTTGGAAACATATTTATTGCAATATTTCCTAGAGTGCAGCTGGTGAAGGACCTTACTCTATTCAACCTCAAAGGATGCTAGGCGTCCTTAGAGAATGAGTTCACTCTGAAATCTATTTTTCCACATTTATTAATTATAAGATATTTCCAAATGCAGGGGGATCTTCAAGCTTATGGCCTTGTAATGTTCGCTCTATTTTTAGTAAAATAAATTCCTAGCTTATTCTTGGTTTTCATTTTTTGTTTGTAAGCAAAATTATTCTCATGAACTTCTCCTCGAAAAAAGATCTCCGCCGTTCCCCCTCCCAGTATGCTTCGTAGAGGCCTGGGTCTATTTCACGGACGGTCGAGATCATGGGGGTCCACCAAGACTATGCGGACTATTTTAGTCCCATATCGGAAGATTTGACAGTGCTAGGAGAACCAAGCTATAAATTAGGCCGTTGGGCGGGGAGATAAAGCATACCTTTCTCGGCCTTTTGGCTAAGATCAAGTGTAGTATCTGTTCTTATCAGTTTAATATCTGATACGTGGGCCATCGGCCCACATGATATTAAATTAATTTCTCGTGGGGGAGGGTCCACCACAGTGGCTTGCCACTGGGGCCCTCGCGCGTCGCCCTTGCGCTGCACTACTGCATGGGCCCGGCGCACCCCTACCAATCCCCAAAACCCAAATCATTCCGCCTCTAATTGGGCAACGTAGGCCATCTGTCTCTACTTGGCTCACTGTGCCGTGCCCAGGTTCCATCTATTGCATCAATTTGATCCACTCCGTTTCAGCCAAGGTCAATTTAGCTTGGCTGGGGGTAGAAGGGGGCGGCAAGCACAGAGCAGAGGTGTGAACTGTCACAAGAGTGGGGAGAGAGTGGGGACAGATTCACTCTTCTTCGCAATCATCAGCTCGTGTTCAATAAAGATGCATTCAGAGAGGTTCAATAAAGGATCACAGAAAATAAGGCCCTTTGAAGGATGAATGTGATGATACATCGTGACAATCTATCAACTTGTTCAATACAAGGATGAAGGAAATTCTCTATCATCTCCAAGTTGTGCTTATTCATTGTACTTGCTCATTTCTACTTTGTCTCCTCATCTCAAGGTGTCCAAACTGATCTTCCAAGTCTATGTAGAGTCTTGCTCGAAATCCCTTCCAAAGAGTATGTGACCTCCACACACTCAAAAAAGAAAGAAAGCAAGTTAAGAAAAGAGAGAGGAAAAAACAAAAAAACTAGAGGACTGATAAAACAAAGAGTAGAGAGGAGATAGAAAGGGAAAACACCCACCAGCAGATTGGCCCACCACCAAGGAAATACAAATGATAACATCTTGACTGCCTTAACTATACAAAATCTAAATGAAATCAAGCAAAAAAGTGTAACAAACAAACAAGAGGAAGCAATGAGTAATGAGAAAATTTTCTGAAGCATTTAGTCAATGCCAAGGGCAGCCATTCAGCAAGTAGAATAAAAAAAACAGTAAACACATCAAAACAAACTTGAAACCATGTTCAATGCCATTGTGTCAATGCCACTTATGTAAATGAAGTCAAATCAAACTTTAAAACTCAAAAATTAAGAAATCAAAGAAAAATAAGAGTGAAAACCCAAATAACTCTTGCCATTTCTCTATTTCACACATAGAGGGAATCAAGAAAGAAGGTGAATCACAAAATCAGTAAAAGAAAGTCTGAAAGTAATAAAAACTAAAAGAGAAGGCAATAAAAAAATTAAAGAGACCAAAATTAATGAAAGTGTTGCACAAAATTAGATTTCTTGCTCTTTGTCATCTCATGGTGGTGGAGTGCGATATGTTGGAAAGAAGAGCTGGAAGGATCATGATCTTAGTACTCTCTAGTTTCACTACTTTTTGTTCAATTTCTTAATATGAGGGAGGGTTGTACATGACTTTCTAATAGCTTGAAACATACCCAAAAATGGCTATCTTGTTTGACTCAAAATATATCTTCACAAATATTCTCTTGACAAATATGAAATGTATCTCAAGACTATAAATCTTGGATAATTAGGTTAGAACAACATATAATTTAGATTACATCATAATAATATATAAAAAATGGTTATTTCAATGTTAATTCACAATTTAGCTTTAAATTAATTAATTTTTGCACAATAACAAATGATTTGAGGCATATTATGCAACATTAATAACAAAATATAATGATGATATGAAAATAAAGTGTTGTCACAACCCCCACCACAACTTGAATTATTACTAGTCCCTTTGTTATATGCATGGGAAGATTAAGTTAGGACTAATAATGATTCAAAAAAAGACATTTTGTTTCAAACAAGATTGATTTTCAAGTGAGGACATTAGAGTTGGGCATTCATTGAATTTCTATGGTGGGTCGTAAGAGTAGATTTTTCTGTCAATTGTGTGAATGCTCTAGATATGTTTCAAGCTCCATCATCATCATTGCATAAGATTTGCATTTACAACCAACAAACATCACTTAGTAAATGGTAGAAACTTACTCATCTAACACTGAAGAGTGTTCTCAATTCTTCAACCCTCAACCTTTTTTTTTCAAGATTCAAAGTTTAATAACCAAGTTTTGTCCACTAAACTAACTATGGAGCTTTATTTTGTCTCATTTTATTTTTCGCATAGACATGTAGCTTTTTCCTCACTAGTTTTTTCTTGATGAAAGGAGAGTAGATAACCACTTCTCTTATCTATTAAATTGACTATTAGAACTTCACTCTTCCCATTTTATTTTTCACATAGATATGTAGGCTTTTTCCTATACATGGTTTACTTCTTTTTTTTATGAGAGGAGAGTAGAGAAGCACTTTTCCTTCTCAAACTCCTTGCTTTGGGGTTTTACACTATCATTTATTTTCTTATTTTGATATATGAGGTTCTTGGATTTCTCCTCTTGAGTGTTTTAGTTGAGACAAGAAGAATCTCCCCCAATCTCAAGAATTTAATTAGGTATTCAATATATGACCTGCCTACTAAATCATAAAATGTATGTGTTATCAAATCTATTAATGTAAAATTTAATACACATGACAAGTAATGTAACAATTTTGTATATCACTTCAACTATTTTTGACCCACCATACTCATCTTAACATGTCATGAAATCAAGTAAAATTTACTGAATTTTTCTCTTGAATGCAAGACAAAGTATGTATACTATTTGGGCTATTATGTTACTATGGCAACTTCTAATAACAAAAAAACTCTAGTAAATATTTAAAATATTTTTCTAAAAAATTACCTTTATTAGACAAAAAATTTGTTCCCTTGACTAAGTAAATTTAGTTTGACATTCTCCTTGGCAGTCTATATAAGAAATTTTAAATCATGCCTCCAAGTAAATATAGTGTGTATGCCACCTGAGTATTTGAGCCACCGTCAGCTTCAACAGTAACATTGCCTCATCTTTATGAATTTTTAATTCCTCTCTAGATTTTCTTATTCTCCTTTTGTCAAAGGGACCTGAAGTAAATACAAAAAGAAAGCAACAAGACATCTAGTTGTAATTGTCTCTCTTGGATATCATGAACCAATACATTTAATGACCATATTTATAGAGTAAAGGGATATCATGAAACATACATGTATAAGTGAGAGTGTGGAGACAAAGTAACTTACTATGTCAACCATCTCCAATTGTGGATCTCCCCAAAGGCATTTGATAGGAGCCTCAGATGGGATGGCCAACACTTGAACTAAGGATGACAATTGAGGGGGGAGGGAAGGGATAGGATGTTGGATTCACTAATGCTTGAGCACTGAATATAGAGAGAGGGTCCTTGAACTCCAAAGAGCATGATGAGCTTAGGGGAAGGGAAAGATACATTGAAAGGTAGGATATAGAGAACTC